GGCAGCCCAGTATGATTGGATCGTGGCAGGCGACTTCGGCGACTTCAGCATGACGAAGGAGCAGTTGGAGATACCTTGGCTACATGAGCTCAATGGTATGATCGCTGTCCCTTCTTCCAGAACCTGCAGGCCGACCAAAGTTGAGCAGCACTCGGTGATCGATGACTTCATGGCATCTTCTAACTTGGCGGGGACACCTCGACATGAAGGTGATAGCTGTCCGTCAACCTCGTAAGGTACCTGGCGTTCCGAATGCTGGCTGCGACCGCGGAGCTACTGAGCGGGAGCCGTGGCTTAAGCGGGGGGCTAGCACGCACTCTTCATCATAACTGCCTGGCCCTTGGGAGGAGGCGATGGAGAGGGTGGAGCAGGAGCTGCACGATGGGTGCGAACTGCTTGAACAATCGGAAAACGGCGGTACCAGGTACCGTCGTGACCTGACCGCAACGAGGTACTACCTCGTTGCGGTCAGGTCACGGCGGCGTTTGCGCAGGTGCGCTGGCAGACGCCCTCGGGAAGGGCAGGATGCGGCGCGGCGGCTTCGGCGTACAAGGCGGCGGCTCGTTGGGCGAAGCATCCTGTGGCAGCGCAGTCGTATTTCCGCAGAAACGCGGAAGAACTGCATTCCGCCAGCTTGTTCGCCGCGCTGGGGTCGGGCAGCATCGCGCGATTGCTATCTTCTGGGGGGGGACTGCGGGAAGCTTTGGAGACGTGAATGTTTTCGTCCGCTCGATCATTGGCACCGAGAGTTCTTCCAGCTTGGACTCAACATGCTTCTGCTTCAACACGTTGAGAAATTGGCAGGCAACATGGTTCTGCTTGCTACAGATCGTCATGGGGCGTCGCTCAGGGACACGCTGACAACGTGGGAACCAATTGCAAGGCAGCCGTGCGTGAATTGCGCCGGCATGGCGCACAGGGCGTCTCAGTCATGCTAGGGACGCGCGGAGCGCGTGCCTGGCAAGCGGGGGGGGGGGAAGGGGGCGCAGAAAGTCCAGCTCTTTGTTGTGGTCTCGGGATGGATGCGCGGTGTCGCATATGGAGACATCATGCGGCTGGGCCTTTTGGATAAGCCGAAGGAGTTCGAGAACTGGGCGAGCTTGCCCGACATCCGCAGTGCCATGATGAAGTGCGCGATCCTGTCCTCTCCCGTCGAGATCGCAGCCCCAGGTAAAATTGGCTTGCGCGCCTGCATTCGTATTTCGAATACGGTGAAGGCATTTGTTTTAACTCTTCGAGCGGGCGCGAGCACCCGCGTGGTCGCGCCAAGAACTCACGGGCGCAGCCGCTGGCCCGCGCGAACGGCGCGGGGCGACGGCAGGCCCCTCGGCGGCCAGGGAGGGGGCGCTCACCACCGCTGGCCCCGCCTCCTCGCCGCGCGCGGGGCCGCAGCGCCGTGCACCTGCGTGCGGCCCCGCTCTCCGCGCGCCTGGGCTGCCTCGCGCCCACGGGCGCGAGCGTCCTCCGCCGACGCGAAGCCGTGCGCGCGGAGGACGCCCTCCAGGGCGGGCACGAAGAGCTCCTGCACGCCCTCGTGCGCCGCTGCCTGCACGCCCTCCGCGGCCGAGGACGCCGAGGCGCTCGCCAACGCCGCAGCTGCACCGCCTCCAGCCCCAGCCGCGCCAGCTGCACTGCCCGCTGCATGCCGTGCTGCCGCAGGCCTTGGCGGGACGCCAGGGCCGACCTCGCGCTCCGCCGCCAGGAGCTCGTCCTCCTGGGGGATGGGCCCGCCGAAGTCGTCCATCTTGAGCGACCTCCGCCAGCGCTGCATCTCCTCCCAGGTCGGCTTCTTGAGCATCGCGATCGGCGGCTTCTCCTTACCTGGCAAGCGCAGCTTGCCGAAGTCCGTCCTGGCCTGAGCTCGCGACCCCTGGCTTGATCTGTGATCCCCACCACCACACGGCTTGGCCAAGCCCCTGTGCGCGTACCTCGGCTGGTGGCAGTACATGAAGCAGCGCGTGCACACCAGGATGGCCTCGAGCGGCTTGCTCACCACATTGGTCTGCATCAGGTTGTGGCCGTGCACTACCCATGGCTCGGTTCCAGCCGCGGGGGCAGGGGACGGGCGTTCCTCCTCCAACTAGCAGCTCAGTGAGGGCACGGCGGACGACTTGGCCTCCGCTCTGCGCCGAACCTCTCTCGCAAACACCTCGCTCGCAGCCTCTGCACGCGCAGTGCCGGCCTCGCCTACCCCCGCAGCGATGGCGGTGGCAGGGGCGGAGCAGGCCCTCTGCGCGGCTGCAGGGCGCTTGCGGACAGGCCCCGCTGCGCCGCCCGCGGCTCCTGCAACTCCACCTGTGGCTACTGCGCTGGCCGCAGCCGCCGCGGTGAAGGCTGCCGCTGTCACAGCTGCCGAGCTCCTTCCACGCTGCGCTGTGGAGATGTCCAGCAGGCCGTAGCCCTCATCCTCGCACGTAAGGTTCCACGGGTAGAGGTACGGCTGGAGGTTGACTTCATCCAGTGCTTCCGTAGGCCAGCAGTCTCGCATACCAGAATCTGACATGTAGACCTCGATCTCTGCGGCAAAGCGAGCTGCATCACGTGCCCTGGCCAGGCAGCCTTCCAGGAGCTGGATGTCGTCGACTGAGGGGGCGTGGAGGGCGGCTCCAGCTCGATAGCCGACAACTCTCCTCTAGCCACTGCCGCTTCTGACCGATGTGCAGGAATGCGTTTGATCCTCACACCTTCGGCGGCATCCCCGACCCTGGCCCACAGGTGGGCGTAGGGCGAAGTGGGGCCCTGAGCTCTGCCGAGGTTGAGCGCCGAGTCAACTGTGCCCTGGCAGTCGACCAGCAGCTGGTAGTTGCCGGTGACCTCCGTGAGCGCCACCACCTCTGCGTAGTCTTCTCCCGCACGTGCCGTCTGCGATGGGCATAACCTGGGAGGGACCGCCCCTCACGCTTCGGCTAAGATGGCACCTTCCTTGGATAGCACGACGACCGACCAACCCGCGCTGCGCAGGCGCGGAAAGTCACCGAGGAAGCAGGAGCCGTCGGTGAATACCATGGCACCGTCTTCGACCACAACAGCTTCCTGCCAACCATGAGAGAGCCGCTCTCATTGGGGCTGCCAGCGCGGGCGATGCAGCAGCAGTGAGGGGTCCACGAACAGGCCCTGGCAGAACAGCTCGTCGAAAGGCGGGCCCATCTCGTGGACCACCCACGCAGCACGCTTCAGGTCTGACGGCAGCCTGTCACGCCGCCAAGGTTCCCAAGCTGGGCAGACGTGGTGCCTGTGGAACATCGTGCCACGTGCAGCCTGGCAGAGCTTGCAGATCGGGTCGATGTCGGAGGAGTGCCTCGCCAGACGGTCCTGAGGCCAGTGCGAGAGCGAGACCAGCCAGCGCAGGCAGCCCTTGTGGCGCCCATTCCAGGTCTCCGTCTCCTTCTTGCCGAGCAGCTCGTTGACTGAACTTCCATGGCCAGAGCGATCCAGGTCGAGCTCGAGCCTCCTCCAGTGCAGCCGCTTTCCTCGTGGCGTCCCTGGCCTTCTCCGCCAGGAACGCGGGCGAGAAATGCAGCACCTCGAACTCCCCCATGTCCTCGTCCAGCAGCTTGGTGCCGTCGAAGGAGAGCCGCCAGCCTATCCTCTGAAGGGTGAGCGTGAGCGCCGCTATCGGCTGACGGACCGCACTCCAAGGCCGTTGTTTGCTGAGCACCTGCTGGCTCTCTTGGATGCACGCTTGGATGGCTGAGGCTGTGGCTTGGCCAGACCACACCACGTTGACGAAAGCCTGAACTGCCATGCCCACTGCAACAACCAGCGGGTCCTGCCGCCAGCCGCGGGGCGCGCACTGCAGGGCGAAACTGAGGGCCGCTCCAGGCGGCAAGCGACCAGCGCACTTCGCAGCTGCTACCCTCAGCGCCCTCATGCGCCCAGGTGGGACTCCAGCTATGGCCGAACCCCAGAGCGCCTTGGCCGTCGGCCCAGCTCGCATCACTCTAGCTTGCCGAAGGCCAGGTCCGAAGATGCGTGCCAGTCGTCCAGCTTGACGGAGTGCGTCCAGCTCTCTCTTGACCTGCGTCGCCACCATGCGGTGTCCACCAGCAGTCGCGTCACCACCGAGGTCACGGTGTCCCTGAGCAAAGGCGACCTTGTCCAGCGGCCACCCCTCTTGCTTCATCAGCTCGCGCTGGAGGTCCACTGAGGAGGCCAGCACTTTCGTTTTGCCCCAGTTGATCGGGAGCCGCTTGTCCCTCAGCATCGCCACGACGCCCTTGACGAAGCTGTTCATCTGACTAACCAGCACTCCTCTGGATCTATTCCATTGCCCGAGATGTCGTCGATCACGTTGACTATCCGACCTATGGGGAGCTTCGCTCGACTCTTGACAAGTAGGTCCATCAGCATGAGCCTAGCCATCGTTGTCGCACAGGAGCAGCCTGCGATGACCGTGCCCCTCGCATGGATCACCTCGCTGACGGCGCTGTCAGCCGTCGCTCTCCTCGGTCCCGAGTATGCCACACAGAGCGCACGCACCAAGCCTGTGCAGAATCCATTTAGCTCGGCCGCCTTCAGAAGCAGCCCATGATCGATCCTCTCGTAGAACTTGCTAATGTCGAAGTAAACCGAGACTCCGTCGAAGCCGACCTTCCGAGCAAGGCCAAGGTACAAGTTGTGTAAGTACGCTGCCCTGTCGCAGCAGGTGTCCGAGCTGCTGCCCCAAATCTCAGGAAGGCGGTGGGCTCGCTCCCATTGCAAACAGTACTGCCTGCGAATCCTGCCCCACACACGGAGCCAAAAGCACATCAAGCCGATGGGGCGGTGTCCGCCACCAGGCTTGCCCAAGAAGACGATGAGCGTGGTGAACATCGCCGTCGGCTGAGGGTGCCTTTCCCATTGCGTCAGCACGTCAGCCATGCGCTGCGCGAACGGCCTTCCCAGCATCAACAGCAGTTTGGGGTGGAAGCCATCCCATCCGAGCGCCGTGTTCTTCGCGAACGTCCTCGCCGACTCTAGCACCTCCTCCGCCGTAATCTGGGGCAGTTCCGACGTGGTAGGCCAGTCAGCAGGACTGGTCTGCTGTGTATCCCCGCTGCTCCACAGGGCCTTCCACTCCACCAGCATCTGATCCAAGGCCGCTTGGCCCACCAGTGGTACCGGAGGCGAGTCGCCGCTGCCGTCCGCGAGGATCGGCTTCGCCTCACCGCGGGACTTCTTGCTGATAGCATGAGCTCCACGGCCTCCACCAGCCAGCGACTCGTCCACGAACTCCTTCCAGCGGGTCCTGGCTGCCGACGCATCGCCCTTGACGTGCATGTCAGTGACCATGGCGATGGCCTTCATCACCTGCAGCCCGTCAAAGGAGCCGCGCCTGACCTCGTGGACTATCGTGTCCATCTTGGTGCCGTTGAACATCGAGTTGCCCAAGCCGTCGAACTGCGCTGCCAGGGTTGCGATCGCCTGCTCCAGGTGCTTCATGTATAGCACATGGCTCTTGGCTGGCTCTGGAACCGATGCCGCTGCTCTGAGCTGCTTGACGAGCCTGCCGAGCGAGAGCCACAGCCTAGTCAAAGGGCTTACCTTTTCTGGAGGTCTCCGTCCGCTGGAGGTCCCTGAGGCTGATCTCTACTCGCTTGAGCCCGTCCGCTCTGCCACGGTACTTGGGGCCGTCGGTGACACCCAACATAGCAATCAGATGGTCCTCCGCCTTGACAAAGAACTCGCGCACTGCCTCATCTGGCCTCTCGCCTGGAGATGGCAGGGGCGCCTGCCAGACAATGTCCTGGGCTGCTTCCTCCGCCTTCAGCTGGTCCTCCTCCGAGATGTCCGTCGACAGGTCGAATCTCTTGGGGCCTCTCAAGACCCAGACTTTGGCTTGAGCCCCCAGCTTGCTGAAGGTAAGCCGCACTGGAGCGTGGGGCTGTGTAGTCGTTGGCCGAAGCACTTCTGCCGTCGGGCTCAGCGCCGCAAGGGAGGCCGATATCACGAAGTAGTCGTAAACTCGGTCGTTTCCCGAGGTCACCGAGCAGGTAGGTAACTTGGGCGCCACGACAGCACCCCCCACAGACCGTGGGGAGCTCTCCAACAGCTGCGGCTCCATGTTCCAGTCCGCTGCCACGACAAACGGCTCGCATTGGGAGTTGAGGAATGCCTGCAGCTCACTCAGCAGCTCAACGTTGGTGCCCGTCATCTTGGCGGAGTGCCCCAGGTAGGCGCTGACCACTAGCACCATCAAGTCCCCGAAAACAACCCTTCGAGCGAAAAGCCGCGAGCTGAATGGACCCCAGTCATGATCCACAGGTGCTGAACCTCGGTGTGTCGCTACCAGACAACCAACCCCCGATGACACCGACTGGACCGAGCTACCCGTTCTCCTGCATGGGCTGAAGGACGCATTGAGGCCGTTGCGGGTGCCCCAGCCGATGGCCTCTCTCTCCTTCTCCTTCCCCGTGAAGCGAGTCTCCTGGATCAGGTAGACGTCATCCTTCGAACCAGCGTCCGAGAGGCGCTCTAGCTCCGTCTGCGCCTCCTTCCAGGTCGTGCCATTCAGCGAGATGAAGGACGCTGGGCTAGCCACAGGCGGCGCCACCAGCTTGGCCAAGCAGAGCGTAGGCGTCCCCTCCAGCTGTGGCAGGACATCGCCCTTGGTGCTCTGAGGCTCGGGGATCGTCAACAGGCCCAGGGTGTCCACCGTGACTTTGGTGTTGAGTTGGCTTCTTGTTTGCCCGTTTTGACTGACAGTAGCACCTCCGACCCTCTCCTCAGGCGAGGGTCCTGATCCAGCACATGGCGACTGAGCCTGGCCCGAGCTCGAGGAGCACTCGGGGCCAGGACTTGCGCTGTGCCTCTGTGTGCGTCCAGCAGGTGGCGACAGGGGCAGACTGGCGGCGCGGGGTGGTTGCCCACCACGACCCCCGATGAAGCCAAGGGCGGTGTCCAATGGGCCCCGACCCCCCTGTGCCACCCCGCCGTGCGACCTAACGCCATGCGATCTAACGCCTTCTGGGATGCGCTCTGGCGCTTCTGTACTCGAAGCTGAGGAGACCGTAGCTGACCAGGATGATCCAAGGCCGCCTTGCTCTACGCTCAGGTTGGCTTGGCCAGGCGAGACTCCGCCTCCAGGCAGCTGCAGCGAGTGCGCGTACGACAGCATGACCAGCTTCGCCGTCAGGTTGTCAACGTAGTCCATTGCCTGGTCGTCATCGGGGACTGGCCGACGAGGAGGGTCAGGCTCCACTCCCCTACCAGGTCGCTGAGGCGGCACTGAGTCTCCAGGAGCTCTGTCCCCGAAGAATCGAAGAAACATGGCCCTGATCTGCTCCAAGTGCCTCCAGCGCCTGTGCTCAAGTTGCCACCGATGAAAAGGCTGGCATCTGTTGAGCCTGACCACGAAGGCGATGCGGCGGGGCTCAGCCTGACACCTGCCGTTGAGGCAGAGCCCGTCCAGGATGCTGTCCCAGCCTCTGTCAGGAAACCAGCTCCTCAGTAGGCGCCTGAGCGGCTCGCCCCCGCCGTCAGCAAGCTTAGTGCCCAGGGAAGCCTTGTACCAGCGCCTCCAGTGCCCGCTGTCGGTCTCCAGCTCAGAGTGCGAGTCGAACCGAGCGGCTGCCCAGTCCCTGAGGTCCGCCCTCATGTCAGCGAAGTCCTGGATGGCCTGCTGTCGAGCAGGATCTGCGACATCAGGTGAAGGCCCCATCGCCACAGGCCTCCGCCCCCTGGCCACAGGCATGATTCCCTCTGGCTCGGCATGCAGCTGCTTGCAGTACTGCTTGCCTATCATCGATGTGCCCTCGTCTGGACGATCGAGGGCCGGAACCAGGAACCCCCCGACCTGAGGCCAGTCGAGGTCCACAGTCTTGTTTCTCCAGAAGCGGCCAGCTGGCCGCAGAGATCCAGCTGTCTCGGCCAAGGGCGTTCGCCGATCGCACTCAGCCACCTCGTCCATGGGGTCTGCCCCCTCAGGCAGAGGCCGCCTGAGGGGGCGGCGGGCGACAGATCCTGGCCGTCCTCTGCTCGAAGTTCTGGCTGGTTGTCTCCTCCCCCTTGGGCGACTGCGTTGCTGTAGAGGGAGGCGACGGCGCCGTCGAGTCTGCGTCCCCAGCCTCGCCGTCCTTGCCTCTCGCAGCTGCATCGGCGGCGGCCGCCCCTGCTGGGCCAGGGTCCTCAGGGCCTGTGCCCTGTCGCCGCCTCTTGCCAGCCAGCCGTAGCGCCATGGCCTCCTGCTCCTCCTTGAAGAGCTTGGCCTTCTCCGCCGCCTGCCCGAACATCTGCTTGACCGCGTTGGACAGCTCGCTCTTGAGACGGGCGCTCCGTTCTGCCAGCTCCTTCCTGTCATTTGCATCCATCTCATATTCAGCGTCGTCGAACCCCAGGCCAGCAAACGAGAGAGGGATCTCCTCGATGGAGCCGTCCAAGATGCCAGCCACGCTGATGGGGGCAACTGCAAGAGCTGAAACCTGGCTGATGTCGACCACCTGGCGATTGAGCTCCACCACCAGCTTGCGGTGCTCCGCCTTCTTCGTCTCCATGTCCTCGCAGAGAGATTGGACCCAACGACGCTGACTTTCGAGGCCTTCCTCGAGGCGCTCGAAGTGCATGACCGCCTTCTCCAGCTTCTGCACGACATCCTGCACCTGCTTGTGGGCGTGGGTGACCCTCTGCGACATGGGCGGAACGTAGAGCGCCTCCTGCTGAAGTCTGCGCCGCTCATGCAGGGTGCGCCTGTGCTTCGCGAGGCTGACCGTGTCTCCCAGCTTCTCCAAAGTGGCCACCAGCTGCTCCAGCTCGTGGGTCTCGAGCTCCACGGAGGGGCCATCCTTGGCCACCAGGAACTGCGCACCAGGAGCCCGAGGAAGCTTGGCTGGATCGCCACCTGCACCACTGTCTCCACGTCCGCCTTTACCCCCCTTGCCGCCGTCACCTTTGCCCGTGTCCTTGCTTTTCTTGCCCTTCTTGCCACCTTTGCCGTCCTTGCCATCATCCACACCGAGCTGTTGCTCGCGCTGCTCGCTCTAGACGCCAACGGGTTTAGCAGCAACGGCTGGGCTGATGTCCGAAAGCTTGTGGCCGCAGGCCTTGCAGAACTTGCTGCCCTTGGTGTTCCTCTTGCAGCCGCACTTGCTGCCCTGCGGCCCTCGTCAAGCATGCCCCACCTGGTGCCAGCCCTCGACGTCGTCGTCTGAGCCGATGTCGCGCCAGGCCTGCCACTGCTGCTTCTGTTGCATCTCCCAGGGTGGGGACACGGACTTCCACCACGGAGGTCGCACGGCTGCAGGAGCAGGAGCCATGGGGCGAGTGCCAGGAGGAGAATCCTGGACGTCGTTGCAGGGCACGGTGCTCCTCACGGGAGCTGCTCCGACAGGAGCTCACACAAGTATGTCTGCTGCCAGCACCTGGCCGCAGGATCGCGGGCGGGGGCGCGCCTCCCCCACGCCAGGTGACTTCAAGTCCTTGTGCCAAAAATGGCTACGGACTTGAGCCAAAATGGCTACGGACGGTGAAGGCATTGGATAAGGAACCACTGGATAAGGAATCCAGGGTCTGGAAGGCCGCGGAACTCCAAACGTGGAGTGGCCATGGGTATCACCGCCGCCCTCATGGGATAAGGAATCCTCCAGGGTCTGAAGCCTCCTAGGCACATTCCTTAAAGAACGCCCCCACCGTATATGGTTGCTCACACTGGCTAAGGAGCTTGAGAAGGTCGAGTTCATGGGGAAGTGGCCCATCAAATACAATGGAACGACATGGTGCCTTCACGGGGCAACGGGTTCATCGCGCTCAAGGACTGCGCTCTACGGCTGTGGTCAAGGAGCGCGGGCATCTATCACTGAGGGACGGCATGCGCAGGATCCTCTGCGGACGCCCGGGGGGTTGGGCGGAGCAAGATCAGAATCGAGCTCAGCTTTGGCTTTCAACTTGGAAGCCTAGGTGTCCAGGGCTGTCGTGAAAAGTATTGTGGCAGTGCTCTTCTGCACTTGAATCGTTTCGAACGTATCCTGCGCGATGCAGTTTCCCGATGGGCCAGGGGATTCGATAATGATCTGAAACTACGTTGGATGCTCTGCCAGTGCTACTCGCTGACCCGCAGATTGCAAGAAAATGGTTCAGTCGGCTATGCAGTGTGTAGGGAACCGAACTCTATACACCGACGCCTTTGTCTGGCCTCACACTGAATCTCGCACAGGAAAGCGGATCCTGGTGTATACGCGATCCTGGTGTATACATTCTTCATTGTTTCACCCAGAAAACGGGAAAAAACAAGTATACATCACACCACCCCGACGTCGTCCCCGACCCTCAAAAAAGTCCTGGGATTGACAACCGCCCGCCACTGGTAATGTATATGCTCCTGTTTCCTAGTATGCATGTTCCGAGCAAAATAAGCTGGCCTGGAGCTGTGCCTCGAGCGCAGATTGCTGATATCTCCTTGCAGTGGGTTTGAACTCAATTGAGAGTTATGAGTACGCTGTGTCAGTCTGAAGCAGAAATTCGTTTCAGTTGGGTTTGGCGGTGCGGCCTGAGAAGGCTGGGCACGCGGCATCATCTACATCGGCGGCGAATGAGGCCAAGAGGCATCCTGGAGCTGGCGGTCTCAAAGCGCAGAGCTGCATCAGGAACCTTGGACAGTATCACCACGGCATGAAGGTCGTTCGCAGACAAACGAAGTCTAGGATGAACGCGCTGCGGGCTCGCAAGCGAAGGCTCACGTTGTCCAAGCGCACGGCTCGAATCAGGTAAGCTTTTTGTGGAAGAATGGTCCGCTTCAGTCGGCTGCTCATGGGGCGGGAGCGTCTGGTTTGAATGACGAGGTGCTTGCCAAGCCGAGGGCTGCTGCAGGTACGCTGGTGGGCGCGCGCGCGCGCTGGTTCGCCATCGTTGGCGCTCCACCTGGCGACGCAGAGAAGCCCTGAGTATGATCCTATACACATGGCAACTTGTGATATTGTGGATCGGCACGCTGGAGATGGGAGGCCAAGACTAATACATCGAGGCTACATCACGCGTGGTCTGCCATACGCAGTTGTTGCGCTATCAGTCATGTTGGCGTCATGCCCGGGGCCCCACTGGTGCGGTCATTCTCAACTTGTGGCAGATTGGATGGGTGATGCATTCCTCAATGGTTACACCGTGCTTTCACTGCTCGGCAGCGCGCCGGGTGGAAGTGAAAGGGGGCGGGCCTTCTCAGGAGGCTCGGAAGTGTTTCAACCTTCTAAGAAGTGTTCTAAGCCTTTCCCGAAGACCTACAGCCTTTTCAGAAGGCGCGAGGGCTTCTGAGAAGCCCCGCGGCCTTCTGAGAAGGCCTTTCCCGTCTCACTTGCAGTCGCCGCCGAACAACATGTTTGGGGGTCGGGGGTTCTGGGATCCGACACATGCTTCGGAGGTGACAGCTATGGAGCAACCGGGGTTCCCCTGGTGACAGCTGGGGGAGCATCATATTTTCCAACGGATCGGGTTTCTCATCGGCGGTGCCCGAGCTCACCAAACGTGGGTGGGCGTTCGTGATGATGAGCCCAGTGAAAGTACCTTCTCGTGATGCTTACGTCCTGCTACGAGGTCCTTTGCAGTCTGTCGGCAGGGCGGAGAGATACGCAGTCCGTATGGCGTTCAAACTTGCTGGGAGTTTCGAGTTCGTTTGCTAGGACCTGCTGGCTCTCTACGCGAGGAGAGCAGCATGTGGTCAGAGTATCTTGATGCGGCGTCTTGCACACACGCTACAAGTTGGAAGCAGATCAAGCTGGCTGCTGGGCTTTGGCGTGCGTTTGTCTTCTGGGTGACTACGCACACGTCCTACGCTGAGGTGGGCATCCCACAGATCTTCTACATGGGCAAGATGGGTGGACCACTTCGCGCGGGAAGAGGCCTTGCAGCACACATTGCCAAACGTGTGCGAAGAAGTGTTCAAGCTGGAGTATGGGCAGCATCGCCAGAAAGTGCAATGCAATATCTTCGTTTGTTCCGCCATGAACGCGACTGCCGAACACAATCACACAATGCCCGCCCACGGGCAAGAGCTCACAAGCAAAAGAAGATCAACTGAGCATATGATCCGCTGCCCCTCGCGGGAGATATATCCACACCCGTCGGATACGAACGAGCTCGATAGCGGAAATACTCTAAAGTGGCTGGCCAGGTAGACGTCACCACAATCAGGGAGGATGGAGAGGAGGACGACTCGGAGGAAGCAGGAGGGGGAAAGAGAGGCTGAAACCCCTAGAGCAGCGCTCAAGCCAACCTGCGCTAGGCGAGCCCTTGCGCGCAACGGCGGGGGGCGGGACACTGGCAAAGTTTATGGTCATACGACTATGTAAGCACGAGCTCTTTGACAGACCACGTGAATTCAAAACCCGTCCCCTCTTCCTCCCCCCTAGACTTAAGTCAAGCACGTCCCTCTACAGGAGAGGGATTCCAACATCGTCAAAACATAGTCTGGACAAAGCCCCAACGGAGAGAAAGGGGGAGGAGGGAGAAGCAGCAGGGCAGGAGGGCGGGGGGAGCGAGCGGCAACGCCAAAGCACTCGGACATCCCCCACGAGCGCAGCCCCAGCCAGAGCGAGCCCAACAAGCTATCGCGACGGCGGACGGCGGGGAGGCGGCACGAGATAGCGCAACATCTGGCGCGGGCCATGCGCCGGATGCTCTCAAATCGGCGGTGGACAAACCTCCCTTTAGTAAACCTCCCCTTAGTGAAAACGGCCTGGGGCCGAAACCGACGGACCTGGGCCCGCAAAAATCACGGCCGCGACGCCCTCTCGCGAACCGAAAACGGCCAATTCCTTAATCGACGTGTCAGGGTAGGAGGTCTATCCACCTCCGATCAAAAGGGCGGTTTGGGGAGCCTGAAGCTCCTCAGCCCGTGCTGCAGGCGGTGCCGCACGTCCTGGTGACACTGGCAACGTGCGCTGTGATGTGTCGGCTGTGTCGTCTGTTTGCGCATGCCACGGCCGGCCTCACGTTGGCTCCGTGTCTGCGGTCGGTCGGCGGTTTCGCCCGCGGTCATCGACAACGTCAGGGCGGAGGCAGCTGTTAAAGAAGATCGGTGCGATATCGACCTTGCCCTCTGAGGCGGCAGCGGCGGCCGTGGAGGCGGTGGTCCATATGACCAGGAAAAGGGAGTGCACATATGGCCAGCTGCGGGAGGTGTTGTGTCGTCTTGCTCGGACTGTGGGAACAAAGTTGAGCATGACGGACATCGCCTTCGACGAGCTGGAGTCACGAACGTGTGCGAGCGCTGCGTGTCAAACGACAACCAATGATTTGGCTTGTCTGTTGGACAATTTCTACGTGGGGGCGGCAAAGCTGCATAGCATCTGTCGACTTTCGAGGGCGTCTGCGTCGGCTGATATCATCTCAGCACCCAAGAGCAGTGGCCCACTCTAACTCTACTCTCGGGCCGAACGAAAGGGGGGGATAGGGAAAGGGGGGGGTGACAAAATCTGCTGCGTGCAGCTGGTTTCAGCCCCACCGAGGGGCCCATTCCTCGATACATGGCCGCCTCCGGCGCCGGGAGGCGCCGGGAAAATCCGCTACGTGAGCTGATTCGCAAACCCCCCTTTTCGGCTACACGCAGGAGTGACCCCGGGTAAGAGGGACCTTTGGTGCGAGGCTTTTTGGGGTCCGCGGGGGACCAAACACAAGCGCACAAGACGCTACTATCGCAGCACGCTCGGCGATCGGGGGGCCCCTGTGGGCCCGCACCAAAGGTCACTCCGGCGAAGGGTCACTCCTACGTGCAGTCGACCTTTGCCATCTCCCCCTTTCGCCCGGCCCGAGACCCAGTGCGCCTGCTTCGACGGCGATTTCGGCACCCTGCGGTTCCCCAGAGTTGCTACTGCGCGGCCCTGGGTAGGCGGGTAGGTTCAGGTCGGGCCTGCCCCCCCTACAGGGGGATTTTGGACGAAAACTAAAAAAACAAATACTCCAACAATGCCCCAAAATGATCAAAAACTACCCCAAAAAATCCTCCCCATAC